TAAGGCTATTTCAGACGTCTCTGTGTATAACATAAATTCAGCATGCACAATAAGAGAGAAAGTCTGTTCTGGTGTGTAACAATATATCAGCATTTTAAAATGAGCTTGAAAAAAATATAAGCTCGTTATTAGTATTGCATGCAAAATATTTTCTGTTATATCCTATGCGATGTAGATATGGTCACGGCAATACAATGATATTTGCTGCTGTATGCCTACATAGTTTTCAAAACTAAAATTCAGCTTAGCTAAATTGCTAAGCAGACTGGTAAATGTCCAATTTTAGCAGCCTAGCATATGTTTATAATTTTTGTTTTAACATATGCTATGTTGGTTGAACTCCCCTCCCTACACATACGGTAGATAAAAGCTGTCACATCACAAAATGGTGGCAGCCCAACTTCTCTAACATTTTCCATGGCACTTCAGAGTCTTGCATTAATTAGCTATTCTTGGATAGGAGACAGACTCTCATCTTTGTAGAATTTTGGTTTCAAACCCGAGATGTACTTCGGTTTATGTATGCAGTAGCCCATCTGTGTTTCTGCAGCCATAAACAGTAAAAAGCACAGGGCATACAGAAAAGCGGTCAGCAAGCGTGAGGATGCCCTTGGTTCACAGATGGGAACCTGAAAGCAGGCCCGTTTGGTTCACTGGTTGGCTCCAGTTTGCTCAAACAAGAGTGTTCTCTCTCTTCCACTTTCCTGGGAGAGGTGGGTGAATAAAACAACGCTGGTGCACAGTCCTTTTTCTTTTCATTGTGAGCTGCTAAACTACCCCTCTTTTCTCCTCCTTTTTCAAGGCAAGTGTAAGAAGGAATTTCACTGAGTCTACGATTCTTTCCTAAACCTCAGTGGAGTAGAGGGGCCTTGTGACAAATACCACTGCAGCTGTGATGATGCTGTCTTAATCTTTGCTGCACTGTGACCTGGAAACCTGGATTTAGACATGAAAGGACATGCCTTAACAGTGCAGAAATATGATCCCTTATCACATCAAACTGCCTTTTGCATGTGCTCCAAACTCATGATTTTATTTTTGGTATTCTGTCTGCTGTTTCCCTGTTGTTAAGCTCCTGACTGATGTACTTCTGCATGCGTAATGCCTACTGTGCTGCCGCACGGGGGGTGGTTGGTTTTCTGTGGGGGATGAAGGAGCCTTGCCCATCAACTGAAACTGCTGTAGAAATGGCACAGGCTCTGTGGTAGAGGACTGACATTGGCAAGTGCAGTCACATCTGTGCCTGGTCTATCCACAGCATGGACAGGGTTGTTCTGATGCCTTCATCCCTGGGTGGTATGGGTGCCGCCTCCTGCCCTCTGGTCTACCTTGAAGCTGCTCCAAAGCTCATACCCACATGCACGCGCAGTTCCAAAACATAATGTATGGTATCATCCCTATCAAAGATCCAAGTTCCTGCAGTTGTATTAGACATCTCAGTATGGAGATTGAGGTACAGGGACAGGCCCATGGAGCTTCAGAGGAGCTGCTGAGGTACCTGGGAATGTGGCAGTGGCAGCGTCAAGGTAAGGACCTGTGTAATAGGAGATGGTGGGCCTGGTGCTTGCACGTCCACCTGCAGTGCTTTGAGAAGCCCCACTGGGAGCTGCTGGCAGGGCAGCCTGCTTCCAAAACCCTGCGGTCGGCTCCCAGCTGTGAGTCAGAGCCACTGTCAAGCCCAGAGCGCATGACCCACTGGTAATGCTGGTGGAGCACTTTGCCGTCTTTGGATCGTAGATGCCAGTGGTGGTTGTTCAATGTTTGTTTCCCATTTATGTATTTGTTTTCAGCTGCTGTTTGGTTTGCTGTGGTTGTTAGCTGGCTGGCAGTCTTTGCTGTGGGATTCAGGTTTTGTCAGTGTGCACAGAAACCAGTTTCATTTTACTGCCAAATAATAAGCATGGTGGAAATGAAGGAAGAAAATGGTAAATTTAAACTGCTTTTTCAGACCTTTATATAGATGTCTACTAGAAATAACTGTCTATTTATTACAAGTGAACATAAGTAATTAGTGTATCCTTAACATCAGTTATTTATTGCTAGCAGAAAAGTAAAGAGATTTCTTTATTTTCCAGTGTTGCTCTTCACCCTGGTAAACATTTCTTTGATTTGAAGGTTTCTTGTATGGTATAAAGAGTGTAAATAGGTTTTTTCCTTCCTTCTCTATGGCTTCTCTCCCCAAATGTAATTTAGCACCAGCTGAGTTGAACTAAGTCCAACACCATTTTTCTGTAATGATCCTGGAAGTAGCACACATGAGTCTGTGGTGGGAGAGGGGAGCAGAGAGTGTTGGTGAAGGTCTTCAATGTTTCTGGCGCTCTTGTGTGATACCATGTCGGTCGCTCTTTACTGTTCATTTGCTGTTGTTTGCAGTACTTAGACATTGGATAACTCATCGGATAACATTGGATAACTGTAACTTTTTTTTCTTACTGCTCACAGTAGATTTTGTTTTATATTAGAGTAATAGTGCCGATAGTAATCCAATTTAACTATTTAAGGCACAAGCATAATGTTAGGATGAAAACTCTGATACAAGTTCATTTGTAGGTTTTTCTCCTGTACAAGTTTGTGAAGAGTATATATATCACTTGCTCAGAAAAATTAGCGTTTCTGAACTATCAGAAACTGATAGCAGTGTTGCTCATTACGAATACTGAAAAATCATCAGGTAGACCCTTAGAGATGTATACGTTAGAGTCTCCCTTAAAAATCATGACTCTTAAAATAAACAAACAAAAGTCCTTTCCTCCCCCCCCCAACACTTATGGTTCATGTTCTAATTTCTTTTTCCATAAAGTTATAATCATGCGAATAACTGTTTATGTGAAAGTTAAACTTCTCATATGGTTGTCTGATTCTCAGAGGAATGGTATTTAGGAAAGCAGCAAACGTCACGAGACTCACAATAAAGTCACGAGAGTTTTTCCTACATTACAGTTATATGTAAGTTTTGAATTGAATTTTTTAGAAAAATAAATGTATGGGCAGATGGTGATATTTACTTCAGGGAAGCTGAATTCAGTATTTGACTAGAACTGGTTATTTCAAACAGCTGTTTGAAAATGAGAACTCACTTTCCATGAAGGAGAACGTATGTTTGGGGAAAATGGAGCCTCTTTTCAAAACGTGAGGCCATCCCTCGTTTAGTCTATGTCAGAGGGGTTTCTGGTGTGTGTGTGAATTCATTTATGGAAGAACCTTATCAGTAATGGCCAAGAACTAATTTGGTGAAATAGTTTTGCAAACTCTTAAAAAAAAAAATAGCTGTCCTTCTTAAAAGTTGTAGCTGCTCTTTTTTCTTAAGCTATTCGACCAGTAAAAGGATTAAACCATATATTTAGTAATCTTACGCTGCCCTGCCAAATTTAATTTCTGACTACCCAACTTGCCTTTATTTTGATTTATTGAGATACAATTACTTCAGGAGATAGACCTATAGAGAACATCCAGACATAAGCCAAAAGAAAGGAAGCCAAATATGAACATACCCATTATCTTTTACAGATTTGTTTTTTTGGGGACTCTGTATTCTAGAATGTGTCTATTCTATTTGCATATATATTTTTGGAGCTTAAGAGTATGAAAAATAATCTTAGCTTGTTTGTTCTTTTTTTACACTTGTTTCTCTTATGTTCCTGTGGAAAGCTAGCCAGATACTGTAATCCTAGTGTAAAGGTGGAAAGCTATCCCTCGAAGACTGTGGTCTATTAATTGCTTATGTCCTTTCTTCCCCCATTTCTTTAAGAAGACTTTCACGGGAAACTCTTTCACCCAGGAAACCTGTGACCCTGGATTTCTTGGTTCACAGAGAAATACAAACCAGTTTGGTTTTTGGAGCAGATGCCTTTCCCCAGTCACTTAACTTCTAATGCCTCTGTTTTTCCATTCCATAATAAGCAAATTGTAATGCTTACTTATTTTACTGGAACCTATGCTAATATTTGTGAAGCCTAACTACAGATTTTCAAGTGATTTTGCATCTTAGAATGGGCTTATGCATTTGGAGTGATTGAAGGGCTTGTGATCCTCAAAACTTTTTGGTTTTGTAACCATCTCTTTGAACACTACAGAGTAATGCAGCCGTGTACACGTGAAGCACAAAGCCTGTTTGTAAACAGGGCAAATGTGTAAAGATGGGCCTTTGATAGGAAACGAGTTGTTCACTTCAGACATCTGTCAGAATCTCATCACTTCATTCACTTTCCTGATATTTGGCAAGCCTCCCTGCCTGGTACAGTGGTGTAAGCTGTGAAAATATCCATTCAGGGAACATACAGAAAGGGGGTTTTGTGCTCATCCCAAAATGCTAACATTGGTGCTGACTATGTGGATGCTTTATTGTGACTCTTGTGCAATACTCGTATGTGAACTTAATATGCTGTTTATTTATAAATATATGCCTTGTGGTCTGGCCATCTGTTTTTTCACAGTGATTCAGTGGTTTGAAAGGTTGAACTGGTTTTGTTTGGCATTAAGTAAGAATTAGCGATGATTGCATAGTATGTGCCGCATGCATCTGGTTGATGTGGAACACCTTCCATAGCTTCAGCTAATGGGGGGAGATGATACAACAGTAAGTTAATGCTTGGGGTTTTATTATAAGCAAGTCCCTGACTGCTGAAGGACATTGTTAAATTTCTGAGTTTCTCATAAGTGGTATTCAGTTATTGCCTCGTGATGAAAAATACTGTTTCAAAGAAGGCCTGATGTTTATTCAGCTGTAAAGACTAGCAGTATCTGGCATGGGGTTAAGGCTAGGTCTAGAGTAATTAATACTGATGCAGTGATGCGGAAGACTCATAATTGGATAAGATATCCTAGCTGAAATTTGATCACAAGGGTATTTTCCCTCTTATGAAGTCAAAATAGTGGTTTATAATGGGAACTTTGTCATATTAATCAAGCAGACATTTGGTTTTCACTTATCCCTGAGATACTAGCCATTCCTGCATCAAGATTGCAGTTCCTAACTCAATTTTTTTAAATTTTTTTTTCTTTCTCTAGATCATAAAAGGGTTTGCAATGGCAATGCTGTGGAAATTCATGAGAGTAGCTAAGTATTCTAAAACAGCTTTATCACCAAAAGTAAAGGTAAGAGGAATTCCCACCCATTCAAGGCATTCTTCATCCAAGTCTGTACCTTCAGATTTTGCTGCCAACGCATCCTGCACAAATACTGTGGAACTGCTTGGTAAAGCTTATTCTGAAGATGACTACAGCAATGTCACAGAAAAGATTCTTTCCAAGGTGGGGAAGAACTTGCACAACAAAAAGCATCACCCTTTGTGGCTAATCAAGGAGCAGGTGAAGGACCACTTTTACAAACAATATATAGGACGACGTGGGACTCCGCTCTTTTCTGTCTATGACGGTCTTTCTCCAGTGGTTACAGTACAGCAGAATTTTGATAGTTTGCTTATCCCACAAAACCATGCCAGCAGAAGGAAAGAGGATAACTATTACTTGAATCGTGATCACATGCTAAGAGCACATACATCAGCTCATCAGTGGGACTTGATACACTCTGGCCTAGATGCCTTTCTGGCAGTGGGAGATGTCTACCGCCGTGATACAATTGATAACACCCACTACCCAGTCTTCCATCAGATGGAAGGAGTTCGGCTCTTCTCCTGTCATGAGGTAGGAATTCTCTGGTTGGGGTGAAAGAGATTTGGGTAAGTTGCATGATCTTGTATTTGCTGTAAGCAAACTGTATGCACGTAAACATGTTACAGCAACACGTGTTATGCTGTACATTGATAAAGATCAAGTGATTGATCATGTAGTAATACTTTTAATTTGGGAAAAATATAGGTGGAAAATGTTGAATTTGAAAACAGCTATAAACTTCGCCAGAAAAATGTGGGAAAAATGAAAAGACAATGTTCTTGAAAGCTAGCAAAATAAAACATTGTCTGAAAGGAAACAGATTGTTCAGCTAATGATCTGCATGATTCAATGCTAATTCTATCACAAGTCTCTTGCAGTGAGGTCACTTTACCAAAAACTTTGTCATATTAATACTTGAAGGACTCACGGATATGAGTTGTTGCAGCTACATCCAGAGTGCAGTTTTTATTCTGTCATCTTTTTTATTTTAGCAGCTCCAACCTTCTGTAAATCAGTGTCTTTTTTAATGAATTGTTCCATTCTTCACCTCATCCTAAAGCTGCATTGAAGGATTCATCTGTTGCAGCTGATAGTTATGGGTGTGTGATACATACACAGTAAACTCATCAGAGTCCAGAGGCATTTAATCCTAGAGCTAAAGAGCTCTAAGTAGATGTCCAAGACTCTTGAGTTTATGTATTTTATTGGCACAGCTTGCATGTTCTGCAAATGCTTGGGTGTCATTAAGTATTCTGCTGTATCGTTGATCAGTGGTAAATATAAGCCAGTTTGTTTTCCAAATAGTAATTGATTTGTATAATTTGTGTATGCTTGTAGCAATACTGCCAAATTCACATTCCTATAACTAAAACTAGCTTATTCTAATAATACTGAGATGTAGACCGTTCTTAATGTGGTTGCCAATGGGTGACAGGAGCTTGGCAGGGAAGCCTGATGGGTTTGGATGCCTGAGGGAAAACTAGGGTAATCATAGAGCACTGCTTTTCTCACTGGTGGAAGGGGTTCATGCTGCCTGCACTGGTGTTTCCCACCCTGTGCTATTGGTGCTTCTTCCACTTCGAAAACATACCTGCCTCTGCAGATGTTCTGTGAGCTGTGTGGTGTCGAATACAGCTTGCAACCGCTTCTTTGGTAACCAGGAAATGGAAATCTTGTAGATTTATCCAATCTTGTTTGTTTGCTGTTCTTTTCTTAGGCCTGTTTATGAATACAGTCAGGGTATATGCAAGAGAAAAATGTACAATACTACATTGCATTAAGAAAATGCCATTTCTTAATGTTTTATGTTCATGACATTTTTTTTACTTGAGCAGGAGTTCAGGCATTCAGATGGAAAGGTTTTATCTGCCACAGAATTGTAACATCGACACTCTTGCAGGATGGAATTTCTGCAAACTTAGGTGTGATTTAACTAATTATTGAAATTATTGTTAATGAATAAGCCGCTTAAGAAATTTTGGTCCTAACGACAGACTATTTCTTTCTTCTCTACAAATTTAATAATAGGAATAATAGTAATAATAGGATTTTAATAACTGGGAAGAAAGTTACAGAAATGTTCACTGACATCTTCTATCTAGAAATACACTATGTGTAACAATCTGATTCGTTGCATTGTAGATTGCTTGTTTCTTTTTCTCTTCTTTCTTTTTCCCTGAGAAAATGATTGAGATGTTATTGGAGAATGTTAATAGCTGATGAATTTGAACTTATCTATGTGCTGGAAAATGTGCCTGTTTCTCTAAAGAATGAAAGTCCAGTTGACTTTCTATACTGATGAAGAAAGAATAGTGGTATGGTGTACAATGTGTAAAGTCTTGTTTACTGGGCAACATGCATAAATTCTAAACCGGAGCATGATCTAAAGCATCCTTTTTTGCTTCAGTTGCAGATTAAATACTGATAGAGTCTTGCAATATGTAAAACTTCTTACGGTCATCATCACAAGAGCTTTGTCGAAAAAATTGAATACATAATTCTGAAATTTCACTGGGGACTGTTTCTGTGTTTTATATTCTGGTTGCCTGTTCAAAACAACCCAAATTTAAATAATTCCAGAAGGAACTGTCTGAGCGGAACAAAGACTAAATGGTGGTAATACTACATGGGAGAAATGTTTTTATGTTTTTATATTCATTTATTTATACCCGTGTTTAAGTTGTAACCCACTGAGCAGAAATGTGTGAATGTCAGGGCCTCTTACCTTCATCTCAGACTTCTCATTCATAACCAGACTGCAGTCTCTGGCAAGAGGAAATTTGCACAGTACTGAGGATAAGAATCTTTGGAACTAAGGGAAAAACTGTTAGCTCTTAGCTACAAGCCCTGGGTACATTTCATCTTATGGCCAATACAATAATTTTGTATGCAGAGGTCTTCTCTGTTCTTTTGATTTATACATTTATCATTTGGAAAGTGACCACAGAACTGGGAGGGCGAGAACAAAACCCAAAACCTAGAGTGATTTTATAGGAACTTGAATTTAGAGGAGTTTGGGAGGGGGAAAAAAAGGTTAGTTCATCCTCAGCTGAAATTTTAGGCAGGATAAGAAAGATGTAGAAAAGTGTCTCTCCTTTACAAATACCAAATTCTGTAGTCAAGGCTATGTTAAAACTTCTGCCCTGTGACTGAAACCTTTAGTATAATTCTTCTTCGTATCAAAGTTAAAATCAATACATTGGAAGTAAGAGCTGGAAAAACAAATCATAGTTTGGCAATTTTACAGTGTTTACTCTGAGATACTTGTGAGCTATTTGCTTCTTTGGCTATACTATTTTTCATGATGGTTGATTATTTTTGTAAGAGAAAAATAATCTATGATTCGAAGATGGGCAGGTAACTGATGCTTTTCTGCAGTTTTGTATGAGTGCAGATATTGAGGTACTAAAAAAATTCCCATCTTCCAAACTAACTCATTACTAGAAGTTAGAATAATTCATGCTGAAATTTCCCATAAACTTTTTAAAAATGTCCTTGGACTGCTATCAAAGAACATCTGAAAAATCTATTTAGACATGTTTTCAGTATATTTAAAAATATTTTAGGTAATTATTACCTGAACGTAATATATAGAAGAGTTAGAAACTAACTAATAGAAATAGTTAAAACCAGTGCCAAAATAGCTTCCCAAATCTGCTTCAAAATTCTGGACATGAAATGAACTGTTATTCTTAAATAGTACCCCCAAATGGTATTTCTTTTGTATTCTCTTCCTCCAGTATGCCAGCATGCCTGTTTTCCTTCTAAAGGGCATATAGATTTTTTCTTCATTCTGTGGTGTATGGTGCTTTTCTTTGTTTAATCCTTCAGGTTTGAACTGGCAAACTTTCCTGGGTGGATTATAAAAGAAATTATTTCTGTGCTATGTCGTGGTCTTTAGTGCAGTTCTTTACTTACCACAATTTATGGAAAAGAGGGAAAAAAAACCTCAACTAAATTACACTTGGTCCATTTTAGCCAGCAGAGGGAGCCAATATAAATCCAATGGCAATCGCAGAACATTTTTCAGTTGGCAACAAATAATGTTTACACATTGGAAGGAGACTTCATAAGGTATTTTATAGTCTGTACTGAATTATACATAAATTTTGAGGGGAACAGATGTGAAAACATAGGAATTGCTCCTCTAATTTAGTAACCTTGTTCCAATGGAGGCCAATACCAGATTGTTCAGATGGAGAAATGATGCTCTCATCAGGCTTGTTTTTGCTAACATCTGAAAACTAAATAGGGAGACTGTGAAGAAGTAGTAGGGATACATCTTTTTCTCCATTGAAATGGTTTTGGTGGAAATGGCAACTTTTTTGTTAGGACACAATGGAAGACTAAATATTCCAGTTAAAAATAAGGACTGCTCCTCCAAAGCAGTATTTATAATTGCAAAAAACCATTTCCATATTGTAACTTCATAGTGTTTATATCCTGAAATGCAAGGATTCTCGTCCTGGGTAATAGAAGTGTAGATTTTCTCTTATTCATATACTCCTTTCCTTGTCTTTCATACTTGTGTACCTTCATCATATTCTTTTAGTATTCTTTTTAAAAAAAAAAAAAGTTGCTTTTATCCTTTTTCTTATGCTTTGGGGTAGGTGTGAACACCTGATTGACCTACGTCTTTGTTTACATTTTTTTTTACCTTTTTTTTTTTTTTTTTTTTTTCTTTTTTTTAAAATCAATGCATGCCATTCTAGGTTTTCACCTGCAAGACTATTGTCATTAAGTTTGACTTCTCCAAAATCCCATGTGTTACTGCAGCTTTGGACACTGTGCTTCTGTTCTGACATTGTATCAAAGGAAAGCTCCTTCCTGTCTTCAGTCGCATTTTTTCTCCTCACATCTAAGGAATTTAAATAAATTTGTAGTGTTCCAGGGATCAGCCTATTATAGAGAGTGATTTGGAGCATTTACAGTAGGTGTGAGAATATTTGTTATGACTCCCAGTTACATACACAGCAATGTTTAGCTGGATGCCAAGGAACAAATATTTAAAAAGGCTTAAGTGGCTTAGGAAGGGTATTCTTCTTGGCCCTCTGCAACTTGAGGATAGGGAGAGGTTTGTCCAGGGATGATACAAGACCCTGAAATCAGCCTCTGGAAATCCCCTTTTCTGTGTGTTTCTTCCGATTTGGGTGATGCTCTTCAGTGCCTCAGCCAGCAAGGATTAAGGCTTGTGTGAGAAGGAGTCAGTGACTCCGTAGCTGGATGAGATGGACGTGGAGAGTCGTGGATTGGTGTGTCGGTTCCTTTGACTGATGACATTTATCTCCTATCATGTAATAGCATGTATGAGTCAGAGGGAATTTGGGATTTCCTGGATACTTTGAGATAATAGTATTGAAGTGGAGATCCATGCAGCTTTCTTCTGTAGGTGGCAAATGATGAAATAGATTTTTTTTTTTTTTTTTTTTTTTTTTTTAAGTTAGGATGGACATCTACCACATATCTCTCTATATATGCCATCTCTTGATAATACCACTGCATGCCAGCCGTTGCTGTACCCGCGTCTTAAG